GTAAGATGAAGTTTACTTCAGATTCTCTTTGTGAAACATGTCAGAAAGGAAAGTTTTCTAAAACTTCTTTCAAGTCTCAAAATGTTGTTTCTACCTCTAGGCCTTTGGAGCTTCTATATATTGACTTGTTTGGTTCAGTTAAAACTGCATCAGTTAATGGTAAGAAGTATGTACTTGTTATTGTTGATGACTATAGTCGTTGGACATGGGTAATATTGTTAAGGCGCAAGGATGAGTCAAATTTTGCATTTAGTAGTTTTTGTTCTAAAGTGCAAAATGAGTTTGATTGTAAGATCGTTAGAGTTAGAAGTGATAATGGTGGAGAGTTTGAAAATAAACAGTTTAAGGAGTTATTTGATTCTAATGTCATATACCATGATTTATCCTATCCTAGAACTCCACAGAAAAATGAAGTTGTAGAAAGGAAGAATAGAACATTGCAAGAAATGACCAGAACCATGACCAATGAAACTAATATGGCTAAGCACTTGAGGAACACAGTAGCTCTTATCTCTGAACCAGACAATTTCTTGGCTGCAAAAAGGACAAGTAACACGATATGGAAGCTGGAATACCTCTATAACAAAGAGGAGTGAATCGTCGAGCCATGAAACGTTAAACGAAGCATTACATGAGAGGCAATCCACGCTTTTAATGATTGAACATTCTCTTTTTGTTGTTTGTTTTGTTTCGTCTTCAGGTAATAAACATTGCCTTACAAGTGCAAGCTATGATACATCAGTTAGTGTTACATTACCTTCCGCCTCCTTATTAAGGATCTCTGTGAGTCACCCTTCTCGCTCTTTTTCTAAAACATTGGGGCCAATTTTTAATATGATTTTGGGGGGATTTGTTTCTATTTGTTTTTTTATGTTATTTTGTTGGTTTAAAACCACACTTCAAAGTTCTGCCCGAATATTGACCAAAAAATTCTGATTTAAGCAAGAGCTTTTATTTCAAAGAGATCGGGAATAGTATATAAAGATAAAGGGATGATTGTTTGAGGGTAGGAAGCCCAAAATAATGTGATAAAAAGGGTTTTGTTTGAACACCCTATTACGAGTTTAACGTGTAGATTTGTACCATAGTGCTTGAATTTTGAGAAGTACTCCTTGAGTAGTTTATCTTGACATTATGGCATAATCTAGATTCACGTGCATGCATGATTGGTTGAGAAATAAATAATTTTGGCATCAAATGATGAAAAGGTGGTAAAAGGCAACCGACCCGCTAAGTTGGGTAGCCCTCACCCGGGTACTCAGCCCAAAGGAGGTTGATCCCCAAACATCGTCCAAATAAGGACAATATATAAACAAATTTTTTTTGAAAATTTCATCGATAATTAAAAGTAGCAATTGCTGCTTATTTGGTGCCTAAACAAAAAATTCTTGATTAATCTTGTGGATGTGATGATCATCATAATTCTCATTATCTTAATTTAATTGTTCAAATGAAAAAGGAGGAAATCAGAAAAAGACTTAAGTACAAAGCACAATTAGAGAGGTATCCGAAAGGGAAGCTCAGGTTTAAAGTATTCTCACAAAAAATCTTCGCGTCATGTGAATACCAGACAAACTACCTCTTGACCAATGTGAGCAGAAGTCTCACGTATGAGTATCAATATACTTTGCATTTCATAAGATCTTTTCTTTGTTACTTAAGTTCAAGCATCAGTCTAAGTTTGGGGGAGTTTGATCGATGATTTTTGCACTTTTATTTATCGGTAATTATAGTTAATTTTCTCATTGTTTTCAAGTACTTTAGTTCCCTTTTCCATATTTTATGCTTTGGTTGTGTCTCTTTAATGTTCTCAGGTTCAGATAAATATTCAAGAAGGATCGAAGCGAAAATCAGAAAAATTGCGAGAATTCGGAAAAGTTTTCCGCATGCTCCAAGGGGCCTGCTACGACCGACCGTAGCAGCTGACACAACCCATAACAATCTGCTACGTCCGCCCGTAGAAGCTTACACTGCTTGTAGCAGACTGACATCATCTTGAAACTTTCAATGCAGAAATCAAAGGCATGTTATGGGCGCCTGTAGCAGCTGCCACGACCCGTAGCAGGAGGCCTGGGACAACAACACAAATTGGAAAATGCAGAAGAGCGTTACAGGCGCTCGTAACGCTTGCTATGGCACGTAGCGGATGATGACATTGCTTTCAATATTTTCTCTTATTTTTCTCAAGTTTTGGTCTGTAAGGGTGTTTTGAGTATTTCCAACTGGTGTCAGTGGATCTTTTCTATTTAAGTGAGTTTTTGAGAAAGATAGGGCACTTTTTGGCAAGCGAAGAATTACACGAAAAAATATTGGAGAAGACAAGAGTTTGGTGGGAAGGAGATTTTCATGAACGGAAGCGATTGAAGATCAAATTTCTCCCCAATACTTGTAATGTCTACAATTTATCTTTTGTTTTACTTGAATATTATGAGTAGCTAAACCCCCCAAATGCTATGAGGTGTCCCTGATTTGATTCTTGTAATGGCTTTGATCTTGTTATTGCAATAACAATATTATTTTTCATCATTAATTTAATCTCATAATGTTTCTAATGCATTCTCTGTCGAACAAACAAGGTTTGACTTACGGTTAACAATTAGGTTGAACCGCTGTTGTTAATGTTTTTGTGAGATTATGCTATAGTAGATATTACCTAGGACTAGGAATATCCTATAGCAACCGGATTATTCTTGATTTAATAATGCTTAATTTCATTGGTAAATTCTATGGACATAAAGCTTAAGATGAATGATTTAAGGTTTCCTCTCTAAGGACTTAGGAGTAAACATCCTTAAAAATCGGAAATTGATTGTATAAAATATGTGATTGTAAAGTTAATTTAAAGTTGATATAGGAATGAGTCACACACCTTCCCTAGTATGTTACTCCTATTTATAAAATCCAATCTTCTTTCTTGTTTATTTTTATTTGTTAGAATTTTTACAAATAACTCATCAAACCTAAACAATAGTTTTTGTTTAATTGAACAACAATTTGAACTCGATATTTATACGCAGTCCTTGAGATCAACATTATGGGAATTTCCTCATTATTACTACAAAGGCAAAATAATACACTTGTTATTTTTCCGATCAGGAAGCACATGAAGATCTGTTATAACTCCATTCGCAGAAACATCACCGTTAACCAATATCATTTCAATAACACCTAAACGAGAAGCTTGCACATATTAAACAAATTAGAAGATATCATCATATTCACTATATAGGAAGACACTATAGTTAAGAAATGTTAGTTTGGCCAGCGATACCAACTATGTTATTCTTGATATCATTTAGTTCAATTGTTTCAAGGACTTCAACAAATTTCTGCAGGATAGATACACATAGAAATAACGCATAAAAATAACCAGATCTCCATCTTATTCTTTGCTTGTTTTACCTTTGTAACTAAAAATAACAAAAAATGGTGTGTTTATCAAAATTAGTTTTAGTTTATATAAATTTAAAAGGAATTAAGAAACTAAATAACTTCGAACTTGAATCAACATTCAGACAAGGCCATAACAACACTGTCTCAATCTAACCTAAATTACAGGAAGTGACTGTTGGAATAATAGTTGAAGACAAAATTTCTTATAACTTAAACATAAATTGGTTACCACTGTAGTTCGCAGATCTATTTTTCATTTCAACATCATCGGTAGCTCTCTCTTTTTCCCTCTTTGTTTGCATATCTGTTTGCTTTGAAGATGAAAACCATACATCAAAACGATAACAATAAACAAAAACAAATAACGAAAACGACTTACCTCAAACAATGTCGAACACTAACGAAGATGGAATAAGCTTATTTGTGGAAGACCCGACGTTATAGTGAGGGTTCTTCTTTCTGTCTGTGAAAACCCTAAATACTTTCACATTCTTAGAAAATGAAACCAAAATTGAAGAAAATATTGCTTACAATGTGATGAGGAAAAGGTTGGTGGTGATGGGTTTTCAGATGAGACTTGCAATGTTGATAAGTTTCTGGTTGGTGGTGATGGAAAAGCGATCATGGTGTTTGTGATTTTGATTTTAAAAAGTGAATCTTCATCATCAATTCTTCAACCTTCATCAAATTCCCCCAGCTCTCTTCAAATCATACATCATCATCTCTCAACTACCAACCTGCAACAATCATCATCCCCATCAACGTTCTACAACATTAAACTTCAATGAAAACAAAACAAACACAAAAAACACTTCATCATCAACAACAACCTACAACAACAACGAAGACGCACAAAAGACTTTTGTGATAACTGGCATAAATATATTTTTTGAGTTTATAGTTTATAAAGCTCATATAACAACAAAATACTTATTTAGTAACATTTTTTCTATCACGAGTTATAGTTTATTTTTCATGCGCTATTTTAATTAGTATTTTAGTTTATAATTTATCATTTTTTCTTCTACTTTTATTCTTATTATTTTAATTAAAACTTATTACTATCCTTTATAATTTATTTTAATTTTAAAAAAAAATTATATATTAAATGTTTTTCATGTTATTTTAATTTATCAACTAATTGAATCGTTAATTTTATCAAATATTTCAATTAATTTATCAAATATAAATTATCAACTATCAATTATAAATTATAAATCATCAACTATTAACTATAAACTATAAACTACCCATTATTTTTTCAATCACCGCTATTTTTATGAAACAATTATATAACTTTGGAAACACTACCGTGTTACTATGCTCAGAAACTAGCCACCCATTGATTTTGTATAGTAAAACGAATGAGTTGTGAGTTGTGAGTTGTGACAACATTATCCAAAGAAATAAGATATGGTGCTCAAGTGTCATCACCCTAGTGGATGAAAAGATCGACACTAAAGTTTCTGAGGATGAGATTATTCTCCTCCAAAATAAACAACCAAACTAACACACTTCACTCACTCAAAAACCCTTCTCTCATCTCAATCTTCAATTCTCCTTTTTCCAACTTTTAACGTTAGAGAAACACACAGAGAGTGTTATCCATGGCTAGCAGTAGCGTGGCATCAGCAGCTTGTGGATTTGTCTTGTCCCTCAATGTTGCTGCCAACAACACAACCTCCTCACTTTCTTCCAGGACTAACATGTTGATGTTTCCTATAAAATCCAACAATATTGCTAGTTCTAGACTTGTTGTCAGGGCAACCGAAGATACCGCCGATGCTGCTACCCCTACCGCCAGTTCTCCCGCCGCTGATACAGCTACTAAGCCCAAGCCGCCACCAATTGGCCCCAAGAGGGGTGCTAAGGTGAATAATATACCATAAATTGGTTATCATATTTAGGTTGATGATATAGAATTGAAATATTTAGAAATAGTATTAATGTTCAAGTACTTAGGAGAATATGTAGGAACTATGTTAGCTTATGATTTTTCATTGCACACAACAGGTGAAGATTCTTAGGCAAGAATCCTACTGGTACAAAGGATATGGTTCTGTTGTTACTGTTGATCAAGTTAGTGACCTCAAACACAATTTCAACTAAACCATTTCAACTTTCTCACACAATCCTTTGGTTTTTTAGAATTGTTTGAATAATTTGTTTTTGTTGTGTAGGACCCCAACACTCGCTACCCTGTCGTGGTTCGATTCAACAAAGTGAACTATGCCAATGTATCGACAAATAACTATGCTTTGGATGAGGTTGAAGAAGTTGAATGAGACCGGTTTTATTGTATTTTCGACTGTTGTTATGCTATTGAAGTTACTAGCTTAAGGTTTTTTTCATGTCATGTTAAAAAATTTGTATCATATTCTCTTATATTTATCTACCTCTTGGTTTCTATAAACTACATTCATTGTGCAGTTGCTCATAATCTTAAAGTTTACTTGTTGGATAATTACTACTAATTAGGTCTGTTAGAGCCTTATGTTTAGGCCAATGCAACTCCTGAAAATGACCTAGTAGTGAAGGTGAAATACTCTTTACTCATTTAAGTATATGTAAAGTAGAAATGTGTGTTTTCTTAAGTATCCTTATGATATGTAAGAAGCATGTGAGTGAAATTAGTTTTTCTTAAGATCATGGCTTGGCCCTTAGCATAGTTTCCTTCTTTTAAGTAAAAGGATATTCTCAAATGATATCAATAGAGTAAATTTATCCTCAAAGTACAAAATGTATCTCTATGAAGGGGTAACAACAATTGAGAGATGAAAACATTGTATGGACCATTTTGTAATTGATATCTAGATTTTTTAATATTCATGACTAGAATATTTTTTTGGTCAACTTTATCTCCTTTAACTTATCTTAGTTCTATGCTAATTGGGAAAGGATTCCCTCCCGTGTGAATTTAACTGGAGGGTGAGCAATTTTCATCCACACCATTAAAATCGCATATTTTTATATTTTATGTATGTTTGAGTATTAATCATGGGGATGTGTGTGTTGTTTTCTATGGTACTTGTGGTAGAGGTCAAGTTTTTTTTGGTTGAAATCATGGAAGATGTCACAACTCAATTGGAAATTGCCTTACGTGTCAGCTATGTGAAAAATATGGTCAGTAAATCACGAATTACTCGCACAAATTTGATGAGTCCTTTGTGCCATATGTAGGTCTATGTGTTTGCTTGTATTGTCAATTTGATTCAAGTTGATGAAGTTTGTTGATAGCAAAACTGCAATCAATTGAGTAGATATTTGGTTTTAATGATGACAACACCTAATATCAAACGATATTCAGCGAAGTCCTTATCTGGTGAAGATAACTCAAGTGGTCGAAGATGTTCAAGATGTTTTATCAAGCTATCCTCTTGAATAAAACTATCCTTTGAAGATGCTCTTGAAGATAAAGTCATCTCTTTAAGTCAACTATGTGGTCAAACGACATTTAAGTTAAAACTTATGTTTCAAGGTTCGTTGGTAGTTAGACCTCTCAACTCTCAGACAATGGTAATCACGTGAAGTTATCTCAAACATTGTTAAGAAGATTCAAGATTCTCGTGTCATGTTAAACTCAAAGATAATGATACTAATACTTGAAGCTTTAGAGTTGTGAAAGAGAGGAAGTGTGAAAGTTTGTCTAGTTGTGTTTGTCTGAGTGATCAGTATCTTGTAAGGGCACATGGATACTTCTCTAAATACTATGGAAAAATCACATGCACACTAAAAATCTTTGAGAAGCCTTTCTTATTTTAGCAAAACCACCTGAAAATATTTTTAAGGCCTAGCTAACTGATTAGGGGATTGTATAGTTAATTGGATGACTTTTCACAACTGAATAATCGATTATCCGTAATAATCTAACTAATTATTTTCACTTGGTTGAGTCTAAAATTGATTTGAACGGTCTCTTAATGATTGGTAACGACTAAATATCAAAATCTTCCATTTGTGGCTTGAACAATCAATTATTGGGGGTCAATAATCGATTAGCCTAATCGATTATGGCATTCATTTCGCCCATATATTGTTTCAAAATATAAACTAAAATATGACCTATAAATAGAGATATTTTCAATCATTTTATTTCATCCAGAAAACGAGCTTTGATCTCACTTTCTTACTCTCATCATTTTCTCTAATTCTCTCATTTTCTCACATGTATTTTTGTCATTAGCGCTTTGAGAGTATTCTTGAGTCTAAACGGGAATCATTATTCTGAGAGAGGGTTGAATAGTAATTTACCAAGAGTGTATTATCTCTTGAGTAAATATTTCTTCTATAAGAAGTTGTTTGGTTGCGAACTAAGCCACTAAAATCTTTTGTTTGAATTTAGGGAGTTATCTTAGAAAGTCTCTATTTGTCTTGTGGGTTTCGTCAAGAAGAAAATATCTATCTGGGTTTATGAATACTAGTCATCAAAATTTTCAAAGGTTCTTGAGCTCACCCTAGTTAAAAGCTCTATCGGTTCGAGATTAGACTATGTAAAATCTCATCTTGATTCTTGAGTTCAGCCTTGATTAAAAGCTCAATTGGTTCGAGATTAACCCGTGTAAAATCTCAACTCGGTTCGAGGTCAGCCTCAGTAAATTTTTTGTTCGATTCAGAGGATAACCTACTTAAGAATCCATCTCAATTTGGAGGATAACCAGTGTAAAATTCCGTCTTGGTTCAAGATTAGCCCTTAGAAAGTCTCGGTTTAGTTTGGAGGATAGTCATTCTAACCTTGTTCGTTGTTTGGTTGAAATTTAGCCTTTAAACTTCATTTCTTTATATAAAAAAGGTTCCTGGGCTTATCCTTCTAAAGGCTCTTGAGTTTATTGTATACTCTCAAGAATAATTCCTGGGACAATAATAGGTCAATTTAGGCCAAAATTTTATAAATCTCTCTCTCTCTCTCTCTCTCTCTCTCTCTCTCTCTCTCTCTCTCTCTCTCTCTCTCTCTCTCTCTCTCTCTCTCTCTCTCTCTCTCTCTCTCTCTCTCTCTCTCTCTCTCTCACGCACACACATACGCTTTCTCTCCTTTATCTCTTTAATTTATTGTCTTTCCTTTGGTTTTTCGTCTATCCTTTCAATCCGCTGCGCATTTACTTGTTTGTTTTACAAAATATTTTTAAACTCTGATTTTTTAAATGATGTTCTTTTCAACCAACATTTTGCAAATCTTCAAAATTCACTCCTCTTGTATATAGATCCGCATTATTTGATTGAAAGTTAGTCTTTAAACTTCATTTCCTTGTATAAGAAGGTTTGTGGGTTCATCCTTCTAAAAGCTCTTGAGTTTATTGGATACTCTCAAGAATAATTCCTGTGACAAGAGTAGGTCAATTTAGGCCAAACTTTTATAACTCTCTGGTGTTTCTCTCTCTTCCTTATCTCTTTAATTTATTGTTTTTCCTTTGGTTTTTCGTCTATCCTTTTACTCCGTTGTGCATTTAGTTGTTTGTTTTACAAAATATTTTTAAACTCTGATTTTTTAAATGATTTTATTTTCAACCAACGTTTTTCAAACCTTAACAATTCACTCCTCTTTTATATAGAGCCGCATGTCCAACACCCTTATGTACTCAATCGAATCCATCAGTAAATCAACACACAATAAGTGATAAACATGAAACATCTACCTTATATTCACATGCCATTGCCATGATTGTTACAAAACTTCAACCACAAGCCTACACTTAAGAATACTCTCTACCTAGAGATGTTGAAGTTCAAGTTTGGTTTACTGATTGAGGTACTTCCCGTCATCTTACACCTTATGATCATTTTTTACATACCAAGAAACCATATGTAGGTCTGTTGAATTTAAAAATTTCTAAGTCCCACATTGTTAGAATTTTTTTTTGTGATTGAAAAAATCCCTTAGTCCCACATTGTTTAGGTGAGAAATATTAACTACCTCACTTTATTATATAAGGAAATTCCCTATTTCATTCCAAAACACATCAAAAACTATTTTTATTAGTTTTTCCTTCCTCACTCTCGTAACTCTGCGTCTTTCGAATTGTCAAAGTGTCAACTTCTTCCCCTTTCTTTCTACTCGTTGAATTTTCCGAGTACTTTATTAAATTCTCTTTTGAGAATAATGTTAATTTCTCCTTGTTTGAGTCGAGAAATTACCTAGTATAATTTTTTGGATTCTCTTTAGAGAATTAATTAAAATTTCTCCTTGTTTGAGAAATTCTTTTGAGTGGTCAAATGACCATTATTGAATTCTCTTTAGAGAATTATTGAAATTTCTCTTGTTTTGAGAAATTATTACGACTGACGGTTATACTAGATACTACGGTGGTATTTATACCATATTAAAATTTTCTTAGTATTATCAGAGGGTGTATTTCTTAGATCGATTATCTACAGTGCAAGTAGTAATCATACAATATAGAATTGGGTTGTTTTATCCTGGAGGCTGCGCGGTAGTTCGATGCTTTGCATAATTTTGGGCAGTGCTGCAAAATGTCTTAAAGAGAGCGACCTAGTCTGCGACTCAACCCGATAATTTCTTTGGTGGCAAAATTTTCAAAATCGTGAAACATCAATTTTAAGACGTTTCAAATTGCCATGCCTATCGAAGAAATTACTGGTAATTTTGTGAATACTTTCTTTGAAAAACTGTTCATTTTTCAGGGAAGTCACTTCAAACATTGGCAATTAAAGATGAAGTTCTTAACATTGGAAAAAAGTTGCTAACATGATTGATGATATTTTGTTGCTCCTTCTGGATCAACCGAACAAACTAATGGTAATAAATCTAGGGATTTAGATGGAACACTTAATAGTGTTGAAGTTGAATCTGATGCACAAATTAAAGCGAATGATTTACAGCATAGGAAATAAATTACCTTATAGAAAGAGAATGAAAATCTCTATAAAATCATATTTTGAATAGAGTCACAGATGATCTGTATGATAATTACAATTGATGTGATACTGCGAAATAAGATTGAGAGACTCAGAAAAAGAAGTATGACATAGAACCTGTGGCAAAAAAGTATGTTGTTAGCCGCTACTTCAAGTATCAAATGGCAAAGATGAAAGGTCGATGGAGGCTCAATGTTACAAACTTTAAAAGATTTCTTATAAGATCATCACAAAAGGTATGTGTTTAGATGAAAATTTTCAATTTTATTTCAATATTGACAAACTACCCCATAGTTTGAATGTTTTTAAAAACTTTGCTTCGCCACAAAACAAAACAATTTTTGATTGAGAATCTGATTATTCGCCTTTAGTTAAAAAAAAGGATCTTAGAGACAATATCAAAAAGAAAAGTTCT